TATTTATGACGTTATTACTTTTTATACTCGTTTGAACATACTCGCTTATCTTGATTGATTGTCTCCCACCTGTGAGTATGTTATAGCTAAATCAATTCTCTTTCGGATGTGTCCCTTTATTTTTGGTGATCTGCTACACTAGCGGATCACCTCTTGTTATTGTCAGGATCATCATCATCATCTTCTTTTTTTTCTTATTCTTCTTTCTTTCTCCCCTTTTCTGTTCGCACGATATCTCAAAAAATGCAACGAGTTACGCACAATCGCTGTCAGCAAACATTTGGCTTGGTCTGGAATAGTCATGGTAAGCTTTTCAACGCGCTCAGTCATGCGTGACGTCATCTACGTGCAATTTTGCATTTTTACATTATCGATCATATCAGCCTAACCAATTGCCATTTCGAAATCGTATTTAGTGAGCATTAACTTCGGGTTAATGTTGAATGTACTGTACCCTAATTTTACGCGTGCGCTTCATAATGCGCGCGCACGTGTACGCCAAAATTTCAAAATGCTTGAAATCACTTTTTAACTAAATTAGAGCACGTTTCAAGCAATTTTGAGCATTTGAAAATTTTTCATAATTTTCCACTACGCGCGTGCACTTTTACTTGCGCAGTACGTATGAAAGCTAGAAATTAGGTTTTTTTTTTACATATTTTGGTTTCCTGACATTGTTTTCACAAATTTCCATTCTTTTCGGTCATCTTTTGGCCAAAAGCAATACCGTACGTGCGCATCAAACATAGGTATCTTTACGCGTATTTGTGCCTCTATACAGTGAAATTATGCTAAAATCAGACCTATTTTTAATCAGTTATAGCTCCTTAGGTTGAAAGGTGACCCCCAAAATAAATATGATTTTATAGATCATAATGGCTGATCGGACATTGTGACATCATCATATTGGCATCTGAATTCAAAGAAAGTGATTTATAGCTATGACGTCATTTTTGAAAATACGCATTTCAGCGTATCTCACTTATCCTTGATGGATCGTCTTCCAACTTTCAGTATGTTAGAGCTGAGACAATTCTCTTTCATATATTTGACTTCTTTTTAAATTTTGATGACGTCATCATGGTCAAAAAAATTGTTTTTTCTGACCCCCTCATTTCTCTTTCTTCAAAACGTTGATGAGCCCATATAAACTTAACCATTCGTCATTTCTAAATCATATTAGGTGAGCATAAGCTTCAGGTCAAGGTTGAATGTTATATACCTTAATTTTCCGTTCGCGGTTTTTATCGTGCACGTACATGTGCGTCAACATTTATATATGCATAAAACCATGAATATCTTTAATCAGTTATAGCTCCATTATAGGATGAAAGGTGACCCCCAATTTTTATTACATAATCTGAAAGCACATGAGTTGTAGATACGATTTTTTACTTCATAATGGCTGATCGGACATTGTGACGTCATCATATTGCCATTTGAATTAAGAAAACATTGAATTTTTATTTATGACGTTTTTACTTTTTATACTCGTTTGAACGTACTCGCTTATCTTGATTGATTGTCTCCCACCTGTGAGTATGTTATAGCTAAATCAATTCTCTTACGGACGTGTCCCTTTATTTTTTATTTTGATGACGTCATCATGGTCAAAAAGAATGCTTTCTTTGGAGCCTTCTCATCTTTCTTTCTTAAAAGATGTAAACACATTGAAAATAGAGGGCGGCAGACTGTATTTCGACGACACTATCAGACCGATAGTTCGTATACTGTAAAGGCAAAATTCGTGTGGCATTTCCAACCAACTTGACAAGGTTTAAATTCATGTGCCATTACCGTCGTCAGGCACGTCGTTTAAGGTATTCGTACCACAGCACGTACTGAAGCTGGAAATTACGTTTCGGTTACATGTGTTGGGTTTGTGACACTGTATTAATACTACCGTGCGCACGGACGTTAAGACGTATGTGTACACATTCGTAAGTACTTAAAATGCTCAAAATTACTCTTTTCCTATAAAATTTCTTTTAAAATGCTCAAAATTACTCTTTATATAGAGCATGTTTTAGCATATAATACTTTTCAATCAGAACCGCGCGTGCTTCGTGAGGGTCAAAGTACGGCGGATCACCAAACTCGTCCTCAGTGACGAGTTCAAATCTAGTTTCTATTGGTCTGGTATGACAGCTCATATTAGAGAAATGTGCGAAAACTGTAGTACGTGTGCACAATTTAAACCCAAGCAGCAAAAAGAACCAATGATATTAACTCAAACTCCAGTACGCCCATGGCAAAAAGTTGGTAGTGATTTGTTTACATTTAAAGGTAAAACATATGTGTTACTTGCTGATTACTATTCAAAGTTTGTTGATCTGAATTGTCACAAGACAGTACTAGTTCAACAGTGATCAAGTTCTTTAAAGAACAGTTTGCCAGACATGGCATCCCAGAACAACTAATTTCTGATGGAGGCCCTCAATTTAACTGTCAAGTGTTTAGTAGTTTCTCCAAAGAATTTGGGTTCGAGCACATTATGTCCTCACCTGAATATCCACAAAGCAACGGCTTTGCAGAAAGCCAAGTGAAAATCCTAAAAAACATAATGCGAAAGTCAGAACACTCTGGTACTGACTTATATTTAGGAATTTTAGAATGGAGGAATATGCCTATAGAGGGACTAGCCTCACCGTCCCAAATGCTACAAGGTCGTAGATTAAGATCAACTCTGCCGAACACTCCAAAGCAATTGAGACCAAAACCTACTGTAAATTTTACGAAAGTTCTTAAACAAAAACAAATCCGTAACAAAGTATATTATGATAGGTCAGCAAGTAAAACTGACAAAAATAAGTTGCATGTTGGTGATAATGTCAGAATGCATACTTCAAGTGGTTGGTTACCAGCAAAGGTAACGAAGGTTAAGAGAGAACCGAGATCGTACCAAGTACAAAGAGGTACACGAGTATACCATAGAAATTGTAGAGATAACTAAGTCCAATAATTCAGACACTCTTGATCATAAACCACTCGTACCTACATCAACTGAAAGTTTTCACAAAAAGAGGGAGAGAAGTAAATATCCCAGAAAGGTTCAAATGATAAGTTTAAAACTTTCAAATGTAATTGAGTTTAGCAAATGAAACTGAGTTATGTTGTTTTAAAGTCAGATTACCCTAGTTGTTTTTTTTAATAGTTTAGTTTACAAAATACAAAGAAAAGCTGTACAAGGTTGTAAATAGAAACTATTCAATATGTTTAATCATACAGTTACAATATCTAAAAGAGGAAGATGTTATACGACGTTCAATACGCCCTCTATGTTTGGCATTATGAATAAGCTTGGACTAATAATAAATAATTAACAATAGTTTAACCTGTAACACTTTCCACTGTTTTACTTCTTTCTTTTTTTTTCTTTCCTTCCTTTTGTTATTTCTTATTTTTCTTGTTTTTTTTTTCAATTTTTAAAAAATCTCTTCTTTTTCTTTCATGTCTTCTTTCTTGCATAATAATCCATGGGGACAGTGTAGGTGTGGGTGGGTTTGCTAGGAAATATAAAGAATAAAATATTGCGCAGCGCTTATTATCTTAGGGAATGCGAAGAGAATGGGGAAATATGTGACTACTAAAAAAATTACTTGTGCTACCAAATTTTTTCGGGGGTGCCAGAAAATGTTGGCAGTGCTACCAAGAAAAAAAGTTAATTTCAAGCCCTGATGGCACAAACAAAATTAAAATAACCATGATGCTAAACTATATTGACAAGAGAAAAAACAATGATTGTTCAAATAACTTCATTTGGCCTCAAAATATGTATGAAAGTTTATTAAAGTTACAAAAAAAAACTTAATTCCAAGAGTAAAAAAAAACGTAATTCACTCTTTGGCCAGTGTGCCAATATAGCTAGCACCTTCTTTTTATTAGTACTATGCACCTACTGTAGGCTTAATTCTGAGGTAAATGGCTAACCACCACTCAGTGACCATTAGTAATATAGAGATTGATAGCACTTTGTGTTCTTTACTAGTACCATATACTGGGCTTAATTCTGAGGAGTGCCATATACTAATACTGTAGGCTTCATTTTGAGGAGTACAATACACCTACTATAGGCTTAGTTCTGAGAGTACCAACACCTACTGAGGCTTAATTCTGAAGAGTACCAACACCAACTGTAGGCTTAATTATTGTGAGGAGCACCAACACCTACAGTAGGCTTAAGTCTATGGAGTTACCATACACTTATTGTAGGGTTAATTCTGAGGAGTACCATACACTTACTGTAGGCTTAATTCTGAAGAATACCATACCTACTGTAGGTATATGGCTGAGGTATATGGCTAACCGTCACTCACCATCTGACCAGCAGGAAAATACACAGATCACCAGCACCTTGTGTTTTTTTTAAAAGGTGAGATGTAAATTCATATTGTTAGATTACTTACTGTTCTAGTTGCAACTGAAGATCATCACAAATAGTTGTGTACTCATCCTTCTTTGTTTGCAATTCATCTTTAACTGATTTCAATCTGAAATGAATTAATTTCACGTTCTATTTTAACTAGGACATACAATCATCAACTTATGGTAAAAGCAAATCAAATTACTTTCCAGGCAATATCTGTTTAAAAGAAATTCAAATAAATAATAGCAAATATGAATTCTGCTGGATCATTAATTTCTAAGCAAGAATTGGATTCATCACTATCTACAGTTATGTTGGCAAATGAGATCAGTCAATTCGCTAATTATCCCTAATGTGGCACTATTGTCAACTGTACAAGTATAGTAGAAAATATAAGATTATAGAAAACAAGACAAGACAGATTTCTCAAACTGTTTGTCCAGGCAACAGCCTTCTTATTGAAATATTTTGCTGTTTTACTGACTGAAGTAACCACTTGTTAGCGCTAAATTTTAGACTGGTTTTATTTTAAAGCTTCAGCTCAGTCACAGTAACATCTTTACTACTAAATAATGAATAAGTTCAGCTAGGATGAAGTATGTGGTCATTAGGACTCTATAGTAGGGTATCTAGAGGGGTGCACGTCCCTCCAAATTCTGTCTCTTATACACATCTAGATGTGTATAAGAGACAGGGGTACAAATACATCGTCTTGTTGTAACTGTTCTTTTTGGAGTAATGAGTCGTTCCTTTCTTCTATGTACTCTTCAATCCTGTTTTCAGATTCTTGAAGAAGTAGCCTCATTTTTCGAGCCTATGAAAAAAGAACAATTTTTAATTTGTAAAATATAATCATATTTACAAAAAGGCTATAGTATAATTAAATATTTTCAGAATACAGGAAACCAATCATATAGCATATAATATCTTCTCCCCATTAGAAGATGTTGATATCAACATAATAATTATACAGATTAGTCCAATACACTAAATTAAATTACTGTATACTGTATTCATTATCCGCTTTACTAAACATTCTTTTATAAATTTACATCCAAGAGCAGGGTACGCAAAATTCACCAGGTTCTTTTAATTATGTAATACATAATGGACTTACAGTAAACAGTCGATTTAAAGATGTACTGTCATGTGTTGAATAATTTAAAAATGGGATGGTTAAATGCATTAAATTTATATAATTAGGAAAAAATTATACAATATTATTTTTGGGGATTTCAAGGCAGCGGCAGGCATAACGAAAATAAAGAAAAACTTTAATTTGTTTTAAAATTTCCATTTTCCAAAAATGTTATAATATTATACGTTTGCTGTATTCTTTTGCATGGACCATTAAATTTGCTGGTAATCAATTTCAGGATTTTTTACTTGAAATTTCTGTAAATATTTTGCGATCTTTTTCTGGTTGGACATTTTTAACTTTTTAAAGGAGCTATTTAAAATTTTGATTGTATTTTTGAGGTTTTTTTCCTAATTGTTTTGGCAGACAGTGTATCTTTAATATTTATATTTGTGGGGGACCATATCTTGGTGATAAGCAACAACCTTATCATTTAGAAATTGTTGATTGCTCTGAAATCTGAATGAAAATGCATTCTTATCATGAGCTAAATCAAGGATGGTAGTAAATGTTGATAATACTTCGCAACTTTATTTATACTGTTCCTTGTTTAGCGGACTTGCTATCTGCAGATAATGGTGATTTTTAATAAAAGTATTATATTTTGGCCTGTTATTTAGCACTCCCTGGTGCTAAGGAGCCAGCGAGCTGTCCAGCTCTGTTGAACACTCAACAATGATTTATAACAGCCACAAGTACCATGATGGATTGGGAAGCCTAGTCTACATTAAACAAATCAATGAACCTTCTTGGAAGTTGGCTATGATATACAATTAATAAAAAAAAAAATCCTCAGGCTTTGTAGTTTTATTTATTGGAGTAACTTTTGACTATCTGTAAGCATGTCCTCTACAAGTCCACATATCCAATGAGTGTAGTTCATCAATTTTCAGCCTCTACTGTTGACAAAAAAATATATCTCCATTTATCTTCATACAGTATATGGGACTTGGCATGCTAAAACCAGCATCAGAGACCAAAACAAGAAAATTGACTTTATATTCATATTCTTCACATTATAAAATGATAGAGTCATTTACTGGCATTATCTTATTATTGCCCAAGTTATGAGCAATAGGGTCTGTGATTAATAATGGCTTCTCTGTACTAAAGTATACAATACTGCCACATTCTTATGTTAATTACACATTTAGCGACAATACGCCAATTGTGGAATGGCAAGCCTCATATTAAAAAAATATCATTTTGAAGAAAAGTTTAGATCAAGATGATAGAAACAAAAATGACTTTAGGCAGGGCTGGAAAAAGTGTGTGAATACACGACTGGTGGTCGGAGTCATCATGAATGTTTGGGGGGAAAAAATTCAAAAAAATACACGGTCGGGTTCACAGATAACATTTTGTGGTGGAGGCATTTTATCGAGACAAAACGAGTGACATGTTATGTAAGTTTTGATACGCGGGCATTGATGGACACTATCAGACTTGTTTACAATCATGGACAACTGTTAAACCAGGCACATACTGCACCGTTAAGGTGAGAAGCTTATGCGATGAAGCAATTGCAACGGATTGTTTGTGATGACAGTCCACTAAGTCTGCAAGGGGAATTACTGTGGTATCTTAGCAACCAAACTACAAAACTACTTGAATCGACATTAAAATTTAAAAGTAAGTGTTGAAGGGTCTTGCAAAGAGAAGTGGATTTATTTTCAATAAAAACGATGACAAATAATCCTGATCACATGAAAAGCGCCATAACTGCAAAGTTGGGTATGAAGATTCAGAAAACACTGACACTTTAATGTTATAGCATTAAGTATTTATTTTTTTTTTATTTACAATGAAAAACCAGCATGCAGTCCATCCACCAAAATCAGAAAAAAATTGGGGAATGAAAGAACTGCACCACTGGCCATTAAACAATCACAATGTACATCAACATAATGAATGAAAAAGCAGCCACAAACATCTTCATGCTATATAAAGACCATGACAAATCTAGGATCCTGTGTTTTTACGCCATTAAATAGGAGTTTGCCATCTTAGAAAATGCACTAGAATTACCATCAGGAACTACCACAGGCAAGGTATTCAATATATAATAGTAATATTAAAACATGTCTTTGTAAAATAAACTTAACAACTTCTTTCCACTACCACTACTAAGATTGATATTTATTTCATGGCTAAATGACATCCAAAATTTTAAAAATATATTAATAGCAAATAATAATAATAATGTTAGCAATAATAATAGAGATAATAAAGATTATAATATTAATAATAATAATAATAAAAACAATAATATTAATAGTAATAATAATATCAATAATAATAACTGGGATAATAAAAAATAATAAAAACAATAATATTAATAATAATAATAACAATTTAGTAAACATTTAACAATAACATTTAATAATATATAAGCAAATAACAATAATAATATTAGCAATAATAATAATAATAATAATAGAGATAATAAAGCAGGGGTGTCATTTTAAGCCAATCTCCGTCTCTTATGATTTTTGCGCCGGCTATAATACGCCGGAGGTAAAAATAAAATAATGGCCTGAAACCCTTGCCAAGCCCTAAGAACCAATACTTTACTTTTTAAATACAACATCTAATGTCGTAAATCATGATACTTCTTGACCAAGCAAGTACTTGTTAAAACAAGAATTTCTATTCTTTCAAAAGCCATTATTGAACAACACACGATCCCCGACAGCAAATCAACCCACATGGGGAAACCCTTAATTGGTTCGCACATATTCTTGTAAACAAGTTTGACTCAGAATTGAACCATGGAGCAGGCTTGGTTTGATTTTCGTTATATAATTTTGCTTGTTTATTAATAAACGTAATTTATCTTGGTACAGTAGTATGTGTTTCAATCATTTAATAAATCTATCATTCATTGTGTAAACTTTTCAAAATATAAGGGATGAGCTGGAAATATTTGTGTTCTTTTCACTATACTCGCATCATTTTTGAATGATCACGAAGAAGACGACATGCATGTGTCTGTGTATGAAGAAGCCTACGCCAAAAACATGGAGAAATTCCCTTAATTCTAGCATTTACCACGAAAATTAAAACCGCATTCTTCTAGGAATAAGCTTATATTTTGTACGATACTAAATCAACACCTAACAAAGTTAATAAAATTTTGATTTCATTAAAACACATTGTCATAAACAACGCCCAACCAAAGAACACTATTAAATTGGGTCTAGCCCTGATCGAGCGTCGGCAAAGAACATCTTAACAAAACCACTTTGTAGAGAACACATGAACACGAAGCATGCTATGAAGCAAGAAGTAAAGAACCTCATCCGTCATAATATAGCACAGAATATCCCTGTATATTTTGTAAGATATTGTATAATCATCACAAATATTAAATTTTTAAAAAATCTGGCCGAGCAAAGAACATTGAAAAAGACCACTTGATACACCCTACAAAGAATACTAGGAAGCAAGAAGCAAACAACCTCGTCCATCATGGTATTATGTGTGTATTTCTTGTAAGATATATAATCATCACGAATAAAGTATTAAAGTCAAACAAATATTTTTAATGTTTTATTAACACATTTTCCCACGTCGTCACTAACAAAAATGAAATTGACAGTTGATTTGAGAGAAAGGCCATACTGTATGTATGTGCCACTCTACAAAGTACGGTATGAGGTGGATCAGGGTGGATGCAGAGAGCATTCGCATCCTAGCTCGTACGTACGGTGGTCATGACGTGAGTAAACTAAAAATAAATGCAAATGCCCAATTCCGGCGCATGATCTTTTTTTGAAAAGATAATGATTCAATAATCTATTTAATGATTGAAATAGATATATAGGGTATCAAGGTATACATTTAATAAAAACAACAATTTTTTTTTTCAAACCTCTGTGGTTCAAACTTCATCAACGTACATTCATGTGAACATCAAATTCAGGGATTCCCTGTGTGGGTTGATTTGTCATCAATTCGATTGTGCGTTTAAACAAGTAGAAATTTCTTTGTTTTTATAAATATATGTTTGATTAATGTATTTTAACATGATTAAACAATTGAAAGCTTGGAGAAGATTTGATTTTCGTTCACTGTTAATTTATGCTACATTCTAAGCTTATCTCGACAACAAAAGGGCCTCTGCAAATTAGTGCCGTCGTTAGCTTCGGCCACCTCGGCAAATTGAAGAAGGCCGGCGCTAATTTCGAGGGCAATTGAAGAAAGCAGACGCTAATTTTGAGGGCTGTAGCAATATAGGTTATTGTTCCATTGTATCCCAAATACAATATTTAGATAATAAGAACGTGTATTCAATTACATTTTTTTTTTTATATGCAAGAAGACTAAAATTTTATTTTGTGTAGCTGATAAATAAATAACAAATTATAGAAAAGTTAGCCCTAACAAAGGACAGTGGTCTGTCCCAAAAAGCTAGGCATTTACCTCACTGGCTGTTTTACTTTTACGTTTAAATTTTAGCTTTTGATTACCAATTTTGTATCTTATTGTTTTTTTCAGTATTTTGCCATAGGATTATAAATATAAGTTGTTATAATTTTTAATAGAGTAGTGCACAAGTTGTTATTTGGAACTTATAGGCCTATACCGGTAAGAGATTCTATATTAACTTTTATACAGACAGATTGGTTTCCGGATTCCAGGAACTTTTCCATGAATATTTTCACGAGAGTCCG